ACCCACCCAATTGGACTCATGGGGGGTATTAGGAACCATGGTAAACATTTCGGCAATTTTTATTTCCGTGCCAAAAAAAGTCAAAAAATTCCAAAATTGAAGGCTAATATCCATGTTTTTTTAGAAATTTCGAAGGTTTTGGAGCCCGGTGTCGAAAATCCTTGAGATTTTAGGGGATAACTCTCGGGGTCATATAATGCAATTTAGAACCAGAAATGATCATTATATATTGTCATAAATGTTCGTCTTAGGCTTGAATTAATGAATTCGGTGCAAGTTGTAAACCGGTAAATTGGTCGTTTAGAGGCAAATTGGATGGTTGCACCCACCCAATTGGACTCTCAGAGGGTATTAGGGACCACGGTAAACATTTCGGAAACTTTTATTTATGGGCGAAAAAAGTCAAAATATTCCCAAATTGAAGGTTAATATCACGCTTTTTGAGAATCTTTTGGGGTTTCGGGTCCAGGTGTCGAAAAGGCTTGAGGTTTTAGGAGATACATCTCGGGGTCATATATTGCCGTTTGGAACCATATATGATCATTATATGTTGTCATAAATGTTCGCGATAGGCTTGAATTAATGAAATCGGTGCTAGGTGTAAATCGGTAAAATGGTTGTTTAAAAGAAAATTGGATGGTTCCACCCACCTAATTGGTCTCCCAGAGGGTATTAGGTAACATGGTAAACATTTCAGCAATTTTTATTTCAGGGCGAAAAAAAGTTTAAAAATTCTAAAATTAAAGGCTAATATCCACGCTTTTTGAGAAATTCTGTAGGTTTCGGGGTCCGGTGTCGAAAGTCCTTTAGATTTTAGGGGATAAATCTCGGGGTCATATAATGCCATTTGGAACCGTATATGATCATTATATATTGTCATAAATGTTTGTGGTAGGCTTGAGTTAATGTAATTGGCGCAAGTTGTAAACCGGTAAATTGGTCGTTTAAAGACAAATTGGATAGTTCCACCAACCCAATTGGACTTCCGGAGGGTATTAGAGACCATGGTAAACATTTCGGCAATTCTTATTTTCGGACAAAAAAAGTCAAAAAAATTCAAAAATTGAATGCTAATCCACGCTTTTTGAGAATTTTTTTAGTCTTCGGGGCTTGGTGTCGAAAAGTCTTTAAATTCTAGGGATTACATCTCGTGCTCATATAATGTTGTTTGGAACCATATATGATCATTATTTGTTGTCATAAATGTTCGTGGAAGGCCTTAATTAATGAACACGGTGTAAGTTGTAAACCGATAAATTGGTCATTCAAAGACAAATTGGATGGTTCCACCCACCCAATTGGACTCCAGGAGGGCATTTAGTACCATGGTAAACATTTCGGCAATTTTTATAACTGGGCGAAAAAAAGTTAAAAAATTGCAAAATTGAAGGTTAAGATCGACACTTTTTCTGAATTTCGAATGTTTCGAGGGTCCGGTGTCGAAAAGCATTGAGATTTTAGGGGATACATCTCGAGGTCATATAATTTGTTTAGATCCATATATGATCATTATATGTTGTCATAAATGTTTGTGGTAATGTTGAGTTAATGAAATCGATGCAAGTTATAAATCGATATATTGGTCGTTTATAGGATAATCGGATGGTTCCACCCAGCTAATTGGACTCCTGGAGAGTGTTAGAGACCATGGTAAACATTTCGGAAATTTTTATTTTCGGGTGAAAAAAAGTCAAAAAAATCCAAAATTGAAGGCTAATATCCATGCTTTTTGAGAAATTTTGGAGGTTTCGAGTAGAGCTGTCAATTTGGGTAAACGGGTCAGGTTTGGGTTGGTAAGAGTGGATCGGGTCAACTCGTATCGGGCCAATTCGGATTAATTCCATAACCTATGCGGGTCGGGTTTGTGTTGGGTCATGCTTGAGTCGGATCACGTCGGGTCATACTTTTTATCGGGTTTGGGTCGGGTTACATTCGGTTCGGGTGAACAATAGGCCGGTTTAATTTGGTATTTCACGGGTTAAAACGGATTAGGGTAATTCTCGGGATTGAGTCGGGTTCGGTTCAAGTCAATAATTTGCAGGTTAGAATCAAGTCGGGTCAATCTCGGGTTTAGTCGGGTTCGGTTTAAGTCAATAATTTACGGGTTATAATCAGGTCGGGTCATTTTCAAGTCAGGTCATTCTCGGGTTCAAGTCGGGTTTGGTTCAAGTTAAAAATTTGCGGGGTATAATCAGGTTGTGTCATTTCCATGTCGGGTCATTCTCGGAGTCAAGTCAGGTTTTGTTCAAGTCAATAATTTGCAGGTTACAATCAGGTCGGGTCATTTCAAGTCAGGTCATATTCGGGTTCAACTAATTATAAATAGATAATTATCATTTTTATCAAGATAATTCTTTCCTTTGACTATAATATATATGGCAATATATTAAGTAACTATTTTTTATAATTTAGGAAGATAATTATCTCCTTTGACCATACAACAAATATATACTATACTAAACTCTTGAATTTGAGGATGATGCTCCTTTCGTTTGTTGGCCTGCACTGACTTGGTCTCCCTAGACAAAATGCTTTGATCAACAATAATAAGGTGGTCTAAATTGCATTTAAGGTGATTTGAAATCGGGTTAGGAACAATTTTTGTCGTGTTGAATATTTGGGTCGGGTTAGTAATAGGTCTGATAAAATTTGGGTTGGGTCAATAACAAGTCAGGTTGAATTTTGGTCAGGTCAATAACAAGTCGGGTTGATTTCGGGTCGAGTTTGTAACAGGTTGGGTTAAATTCAGATCGGGTTAGGAACGGGTCGGGTTGAATTTAGGTCAGGTTAGTAACAAGTCGGGTTCAATTCGGGTTTTAACAAGTTAAAAGAGGTTTGGGTCAATTTCGGTTCAAGTCGGTTTCGATTCAGGTCAATAATTTACGGGTTACATTCGGGTCGAGTCATCTCCAGGTCAGTTAATGTTCGGGTTCGGGTCTCACATGCTCGGGTCAACTCGGGTCTAGAGTTGGTTTTAGGTCGGGTTTGGGTCACCATTTTTTGCGGGTTCACATAAGTCGGTTAATAATCGGGTTTGAGTCGATATTTCGGATTGGGTCAACTTTTGACAGCTCTAGTACATACAACCAACAAACAATATAACCTTCTTGTGGGGAGCTTATTTTTTCAATTGTTTTTAATCTCTTAATCTATAGCGAATTTCATATATACTCCTTCTGTCCCTTAAATCTTGCTCTCTACTTTATTTATTGGGGTGTCCCTTTAATAATTGCTTCATACCATGTATAGTAATAGGAACCACTATTTTCCTTTCACAAACAATATTTTGGACCCACCATTATTCTCTCTCATCAAATTTACACATTTAAAAATTACTGGAGTGAACATTCACTATGAGGCAAAAATAAGGGGACGGAGGGAGGGTGAATACTTTAACTTGATTGTATACATTACTTGAAACTATTACACATTGTAGAGCTATATTAACTACGGAGTATTTTTTTTTTTTTGTGGAGTTCATGAATAAACGCATAATTGAGTGGAAATCTTGTCCCATATTAAACTAATGTAATGGTGGGGGAAGTGTTGGGATGTGTATCCCACATTAAGGAAACAAGAAACTCATGTACTTTTTGTAAGGCTAAGAGACTACTCCCCTTATTGTCATATAATTTTAGGATGGAATTTCATTAGACTTATAAAGTGAACACTCGAGTAGGTGTAAGCCGTGCAACCCAGACCCATTTAACATTCTCCCTCATGTTAAAAAAAAGCCTAATATATAATTTATTTATTTTTTTCCTTCTTCTCTACCCTTGAAATAACACATTCTAATGTAAATTTATTATGGTCTGATTTGAATTAATTGTTAGCATATGGCTTATTCTCTTCAGCATAATTTCAATTTAGTTTAGTTTAGTGCAGTTCAGTTCATCTCCAATCTGTTCTGTTCAGTTCACTTCACTTCAATTTATAATTTCCTTCTCTTATAAACAATTGAATTATGTTCAGCTCTAGCCAGTTCAGTTCAATTCAGTAAATCAAAACATGCCCTTAATTTGGTATTTTGGTATAATGTAATATCCTGGTCTGGTCACTAAAACATTGTTGTAAATTTACATATTTATGAAGTATTAAGTATAACAAAAGTATAATAAAAAAATTTGTGAGACAAGAATAAGATGAAGAGAACAAATGCATAATGTAGTGCTTCTTTACGCGAGGTCAAGAACCACAACAATACAAATCTTAAGTTACAATCAAAACTAGGGAATACTCCTAACTGCTTATTACTCCCTTCGTTTTTAAATACTTGCTCCACTTTCCTTTTTCGGCCATTTTTAAATACTTGCTCCATTTCCTTATTTGGAAAGATTTTACAATATTTAACTCATTTCTCTCACCTAGTGAACCCAACAAATATCATATTTTATTAATTTCATATATCTCTCCTCTAATTTCTCCACTATTTTTGTTTTTTACAATTTTTTATTCTTCCACCAACCCACTACTTCCATATTTTATTAGTTTCTCCAATTTTCCCTAAAACTCCGTGCATGGAGAAATGAAGCAAGTATTTAAAAACGGAGAGAGTACCAAGTGGAAAATATACTAGTAGTTGAATTTGCCAATTGAAGTGTGTAAATGTGCAATTTTACGTGACAGATAACAAGAGAGTAAAAATATATTGCAATTATCAATGTAGATTTACTTTTACTGTCACCCCATGCATGCATAAACCTGCATAACTTTTCCTTCTAAGCAAACCTCACATTTGATTTAGACAACTCAAATTTGCCAACAATAGACATAGAAATTTGGTTCAAATACTTGTCTTACAAGTTACAATCTCAGTAAAAAATACAACTGACACTTTTTAAAGAAGCCATTTTTATACACACATTTCATATTTCCAATTTTCCATACCAAGTTAGGAAATACCCGTAGTTAGGCTCATATTGACCTGTGCAAAATTCCGACACAAATCTCTTCTCACGAAAATGAACGAAAAACACACTTAGCTTGCATGTCCATAATAATTAATGTAACATAATCTTTAGATTCTATAATATATATTCATAATAACAATACATACTCGAATAATACGAGTACTCCATGATTCTAACTCAGCTAGCAGTACACCACACTATTATATGATAATAAGGCATATCATATCATCTAAGTGGTACGGATCCATAATTGATCGATCGAGTTTAATTAAGCACAATACAATAAATAACTCTCAATAACATAACCATTAACTAAGCAGAGATCAGAAGCGACAATATAATATAATTGTCGATGATCATGATTTGGGCTATTACATAAGAGTTGGGGAGACGTCCATGGGAAAAGGGTTCCCAAGGACGTTGTCCATGTAACCGTAGTGAGAATGAGCATGGGAGTGTGCAGCAGCATCCATTACCACAAATTGCATGTCCTCCGACGGCTTCCAATGCCTTTTCCTTTGGTTGATAAACCAATTGTTTATCTGCTTTTGGTCCAATCCTGTTGATTCAGCTAACGCGAGCTTCTGGGACTCCTACGGTTAGCAAATGAACCAATACACGACGTTAGATTAAGTCAAATCGTGAGGAAAAAAAAGGGAGCTTAAGGAATAGTATGATAGCTAATCGATGACGAGTTCCTCAATAATCAACCCTAAGTTTCCTGTTGTAAGAAAGCGACGATATATATAGTATCCTGGCAAGTATACAGAGAAGAAACACGATGACAAATAAATCACAAACATGTTTTATGCTGGCTGTTGAGTATGATGTTACGTACCAATCCCTCGATGTGGACTCTTAAGGAAAACGATTCCTAGGAGAAAAATGAAAAGAGTGATAATGTCTATCACAGAGCTAGATCAGGAGATAATAAGATAAGCGAAAAACTCGGTACACCCAAGTAAAGATTTTCCTCCCTTAAAATGCAAATGTCCTAAAAATTGAACTTGAACCCAATACAAGTATACAACAAATGCATAAATCTAGCTGCTTAAACAAAGAGCTAATCATGCACCAAACCAATTATGAAGTTATGTAATGAGTTATTCATGGATCAAATCCAATGCATACAATCGAAACAAAGCCAATGCTTAGATTTCGGCTAGTTGTACTTTGGTGAGGCCAACAAACTTAATTTAATAATGATGCAAGTTACTCATATTTTAATGTAGGATCAATTATAGTATTTAGTATGTACGAGTAATTTGAACACGATAAATGGCAAGTAACGAAGTAGACAAGAATTTAACGTACTGATGGATATGGCCATTTGTAGTGTCTACTCCACCAATCAAGCAATTGTTGCCTGGCCTCCTTCGGCAGCTTTCCCTTCTTCCTCTTCTTCAAGAACTCTTGCCTCAGACTTCCCAAATATCCGCTATACTTGCGGAGCAGCTGGCCTTTCAACTCCCTGTCTTCTGCCGAAGGATCAATAAAGTTATTGTTCACGTCAATGTCTTCCTCAGACGATCCATTTCGATCAGGGATCTCCCCACAAGCTGCCATAAAAACATTTTGCATCACGAAAGAAGTTCCAAAAAATGAAAACGCTTTTTTTTTTAAATCTAAACCAAGCACATGTAAATAGGGATGATATATGTACATAATTGGCAATATGATACCCGAAAAGGCCACACAACAAATAGACATCATATAAAGCCATGAAATGAAATGCTTTACAAAAATTATATAGATGTAATACATGAAAATATATATATTTGAATGTTATGACTAATAAAATAAACAGACAAGACATGTAAAAAAAAAACTCAGTTTGCTAGCGGAAACTATCATTTCAACTCAAATCTACATTTGATAGTTTACAAGATACTTGATATGACAACATTTATGTCACATTTGATCTTCATCCTTGCACGATTACTATGTTAGACACTCGGCACATCACAATGACATGAGACACTTGTGTGTTTCAACTAAACCAAAATCTATTAAAGCAAATCTTTTTAAAAAACGGACCAAATTAAAACCTAGCTCTCCTCTCCACATATTCTCGTAAGATTCATCATTTCACCCCAAGTACGTACCAATGTGGGAGATTCAACACACCGACCAAATTAAAACATTAGCACGATTCAATTCAACTCAACTCAACTCAACGTAGTCTGGCCACGGCCGAGTCTAATTCCTCGACACATACCCTATGACAAATAATGTGACATTGATGTAAACATGTAGCTAGTCTAATTCCTATGACCTTTAAAACATGTAGCTATTCTTTATTGCATGTCCCACAAAGTTTAAGAAGTGACATAAATTCAGACCATAAAGTCTAAACTATAAACAAAGAGAAACATGAACAAAGTACCCTTATCAATCAAATAGAATATAGTTGTCTGTATTAATAATAAGCTACATAATATCTAGTGCATTCTATATTGTATTTTTTTTAAGGGACATCCACAAGTTTTGTTGTCACATAGTACATATTATTGAGAAAACTTTTCCGATAAAAACACAGTATACCTAAGATTCCTAGCAAATGAATCATTCAAACATACATTCACTGCAGTTTTACCTTAGTTTTATTGGACTAGAATATCACTAGTCAACTTATTGTCTTCATTATTTTTCCTAGACACCATTTAACTAACACCATATACTTCCTATCTAAAGAAGTAGAAGGATTATTGATGGTTCGAAGGGGATGAAATAATGTAGGGCGAAAGGGAATGATCACGGAAAAAGGGTTGAGCAAATAAATAAAATTAACATGGAACAACATTAATCAACTTCAATGCATGCTATCTTATGGGCTTGGTTTCTATGTCTATAATTGTCTTATGTGATACATACAATGTGACACATACAAAGATAAGGTGCACGCAGAACGCAATTTGAGACTTTGAGAGTGAATGGTTGACAGATTTATGATTTATTACTAATTCATAGGGGGGAAAGAGAATAGAACCGCGAACAACCTAGCTAGTAAATAATTGAGAGGAGACTATTATAAAGATCAAAGAACTTTTAAACAACAATTTGATAACTTGACTTAGCTGTATTACTGAAAACTGAATGCAGAAATTAAGCATATACTTAAGTTCCAATTTAAGCATTATCCTTTAATTAGCAAAAAAAAACTAAGGTCATGCTCTCTTTGCCTTACATAGGCTTAATCCACATTATATCGTGTAATTTTAGTTTGTTGAATTTAATTATAATGTAATCATCTCTTTATTTGACTAAATTTTATTGTATATGTGTCCTAATTAACAGTTTAACACCTAAGAAAAACATAATTGAGATCTTGTTACATTCATCAAAGAAAATTTCCAAATATCTTAATTCATAAATTTATACATAGTAAAACAAAATTCTAGAAATTTGGCAATAAGCAAACACAAACAATAAGATATAGCCAGGTTTTATTTGAATGTTGCTAGTATGATCTAAAGTGGATTAATTCTAATAAGAACATGTAATTAGTATGTACAATGAAGTAATAATAACACAGCCTAAACATGCATGCTAGTGTGAGTAGTGGAGTTAGCTAAATTACAAAGCGGGCTCAAACCGATCAATCGGGCTCAAATTAAACCATGATCTATGAACATGTATCTTGATCAATACCAACAACCAAAAAGCCGTAAGTTCACAAATTAAACCCATAATGTGTAAAGATGTTAACCATAGCTCCAGCCCTTGGTAGCACTACAATGGGAAAAATGTCCACAATGTTTATGCACTAGTTGCCCTAGCAAACTAATGGGATAAAACTTAGAAGATGACTCCAACAGCAAGAATAGCGATACCCGGTTAACCCATAGAGACATTACATATAATAATTCACAACCGGAAAATGTTCAAGTAACAAAGTGCTAGAATAAGGTAGACTTGAAAATAAACATTGATCCTAAAAATCTTAATTTATGTGCCATATTTATCAAAATTTAAGACCTCTCTATCTCTTGTAGTTTAATCTAAGAGAACATTATTATTATTATTACGGAGTATTATTAAAACAAAAACAACAAAATATGTGTTTGACTCAAGAGAGACACATTGAGAAGATTCTTCAAAAACATCCCTTGGGGTTATTCATTACCAAAATGATTTAAAGTTAGTAGAATAGATTAAAAATATTCAACAACAATCCAAAACAAAAGCATTAACAATATACAAAAATCATAATTAGCCATACATATGGGCCAATAATGAAAAAAAACCCTATTTCCAACAAGACATACATAAAATAAACAAAGATTCAATAATTCAAGATAGATCCATAATCATTCTGATGATGAGAAAGAATTTTTCAAAAAATTTATTAAAGTTCCAAGATCTTATCTTGGAAACATGCACCATGCACAATTTAAAAAAAAACATAAAAAAAATAATTGAAATCAAATCAATGCAGAAGATATACAAAATCATCAAACTCAAACAATAATCAACCAAATTCTTGTTCAAAAATTAAAAATAATCTAGAGAGAGAAAGTAATAGAAATTTTAGAGAGAGAAAGAGACATCACCAGAAGAGGGAGAGTCTGAAGGAGAAGAAAGAGTTAGGGCTTTAAATTGACATTCAATTCTTGATAAAAAAAGCATAGCTTCTTTAAAGGGTTTGGTTAATTCTTGCTCATATTTTGTGAGCATCTCACAATAAGCTTCCATAAATTGATCCAAAGCTGGATCTTCACCAATATATCCTCCGCCGCTGCCGCTGCCGCCTCCGCTTCTTCCTCCTCCTTGATTCATTACCATTCCCTCTGCCTCTTCTAGTCTTGCCACCACTTCCGGTGGTGCTCCGACCTACAATTCCAAAAAAAAAAAAAACACCCCATATTAGTATAAAGATCAAAGCTTTTTCACTTATTTTGATTTTTTTTTAAGAGGACTTATTTTGATTTCTTGAAGTTAACGTAGAAATTACATGCACCTCTATAACATTTGTATCTTGCAAAGTTTTAAACTTTCTCAATGATTAGAGGGTTTGAGGTTTTTTTTTTTTTTTTAAAAAAAAAAATGTGTAAATAATCTTGAACATTAACTTGTTCAAGTTTTTTTTTAGAGGATTTTTATTAAAACTACCCCAATCTAAAGCAAATTTTAAACACCAAGCAAAGATCAAAACTTTTTCCAAATCATTTTTTGTTTTTCATAAGAAAAATTTGAGTGTTTCATTAAAATTGTAAAGTGTTCAAAATATTTCAAAAATTAGGTTATATGGTGATTTTTTTTTTTTTTTGACAAAGGTTATATGGTGATTTAAACTTCCCTAGCTTAGCTAAATCTTCAAAAACCCTTCAAAGATCAAAACTTTCTCGGAATGATTATCTCAACCCTTTATATATAATTGAAATTACTATTTTTTTATATAAAAATAAAAATCCAAAATGGGTATTTAAACTTTTTTTTTTTTCTCAAAATTGGGTGTATATTTTAGTCCTTTTAATAATTTCTTTCCAAAAATCATTTCAACTCAAAAATTGTCAAAATGACAAACTAATATTCAAAGAGGAGAGAGAGAGAAAGAGAAGTTTATTGTTTATACCTTTTGACAGCTAACAAAGGCAGATAAGAGACGAGGATAATGAGGATGAGACATAATCTTAGCCTTAATATTCCCACCTGAACTACTACTTCCATCACCACCATTGTTACTACCATTATTATTATTATTATTATTATTATTATTATTATTATTATTATTATTATGAATATTCTGATTTTGATTATGATGGTTACTCTCCATCACATGATGATGATGATGATGATGTTGATGTTGATGATCATCAACATCATAACATCCAACACCAGAAGACGAAGAACAACAACAAACTTTGTTGCTATTGTTATGATGATGATGATGTGAATTACTATGATGATGATGATGAGAAAGAGATGGTTGCATCATAATCATAGGATACAACCCATTACTATTATTCTCCATTCCCTCCATTTTTTTCTCTCCTTTTAAATAAAAATGTGTTCTTTCTCACTAAAAATGTGATCTTTAAATAAAAATTGGATCTTTATAAATAAAAATTTGATCTTTAATTTATAAGAAGATATAAGAAGAAGAGAAAGAAGAAGTAGTGGGTTTTTTGTTTGATAGTGGGAGTAATAAAGGAGTAAGAATAAGATTTGTGGTAAAAATAAAAATTAAAAAGAATAAAAGGGCAGAGAGAGCTCCCGGAATTTAAGCTTACACAAAAAAGAAACAGGCTTTTTACAGCAAAATCCTATGAAAATAACCCACTGGTTTATTAAGTGATAGTTGTCGTCATCTTTTTCTTTTCTCTTTCTTTCCTCTGAACTTCTTCAGAAGCTTTTACTAAACTAAGCAGAGGAGGGTTGAATTGATTTATTAATTACAGTATGTTTATGATGAGTATTAGTATTTCATTTCCGGTTACGGATATGATATATGCAGCTCTTAGGGTGATGATCGCCGATTTAAAATAAAACGGCGAAAGTAATTACGGAGTACTGTTTGAAGGGAGAGAAAGGGGGATGAAGGAATTTTTGTTTGGGTTAGGGAGCAGAGTGCACGCGATAAATGCAGAGGAAGAAAGAAAGAGAATAGTGTGAAAAATTGGGTTCCCAATGAATTGAAAAAAAAACTCTACCTAGTTCTCCTTTTCCTTTTGTGTTGCAGTAGCAGTGGCACTCAGGATTTCACTGCCATTTTACTGCTCTGCTTAGCTTACACTTTCAATGTCTTTAAATTTTTATTATTATTGCTAAGTAAAGATTATTTGGAGCACTACGGAAGTATGAGTAGTACTAAGTTAAGTGGTCGTTTGATTAGATGTAAGAAAAAACTTTCCTTTGTTAGGCATTGTTTTTTTTAGAGTTATTCTGTTTTACTCTACTTTGCTTAGTTCAGATTTGCTAACTCAATTTACTCTGCTGACACTTGTTCTGCTATGTTCTGTTCGGAAGCTTTAAAGAACACGACTTTATTGACATATGCTTAATTAATAGGATTACCAAATAGAGTTCGGTAATAAATTACTGAACTATATTTGCTTTTACAATTACGTATGAGATTAAGGGTTTGATTGATTGATCAATTTGCTCTTACATGCCAACAACCAATTAAGTAAAAATCGAAAATTTAAATCTTCAAACGAATGAGGATATGCTTGAAGAAAACTTCATTTTCCTTTGAATGTATTACTTGAAAACTTGATTATATTGCATCAATTATACCATGACATAAATGAACAATCACTCTAGCACAACTCAAGTTGAACGGTACACCCTTTTCTGTAAATAATATGTGATTATTTATGTGCAATTAAACAACAGTATGTACCTTCTTAACAATGATAATCATGTTTCAAAAAAAAAAACAAAAAAAAAAAAAAAAAAAAAAAAAAAAGATAATCATAGTTTACCCCCTTTTATGTTTACTGGCTTAACAATTAAACACCGTTATGTCTAGATCAACTTATTATGAAGCTATATTATGCTACCTTATATTACTAAAACTTTTACCTTCTTTGTAACATAATTTATAGTATTTTTTTTTTTTTTTGAAGTATTTATAGTATTATTTAAGTGTGTCAAAACAAGATCGAACATGTTGAAATAAACCCTAATATGATCGACATATTTCATCTTTAGAGAACCACTACTTCCTTTTGTGTCAACCAAATATTTGATCATTAATACCAATTACCAAGGGTGTAAATTTTCAAATTAATTACACTAATGCATGCATTTGATAAGTACTTCCTCCGTTTTCTTTAAAATACAACACATTTTTTTGACACGTTTCTTTTTAGTAGATAATTAGATAAGATAAACGAGCTGATTTATCAAAATAATTTCAACACCAATATTATAAAAGGGTTAAGTACTACGTGTACAAATTATTTTGATTAATTTATCCGTTTATATTACTTATCTCTTTTTCAAAGCGCATATCGAAAAGGTGTGTCGCTGTTAAAAGAAAAAAAATACTCTGTATAAGAAGTATAATACTACTATGCCTGCTATCTCCATTTTATATTATTTGCAACGATTTTACACAAAGTGTGAGTAGAAATGAAGCAAATATTTAAAAACGAAGGGAGTAACAAATAATACTCCTATGAAACAGAGGTAGTATTACAGTTTACAGGTTAATTATTACACAATAGGTATTACTTGTATGATTGTATCAGCATATATTCCTGTGATGAGAAAGAGAGAGATTTGAAGATGATGAGTGATCAAATCGAGATGGGAAGCTAATAGAGAATAGGGGGAGTCTATAACCCTATTTGTGAGCTATAACTATAAGGAGGTAAGATTTTTTGGTGGCATGGAATCAAACTCTATGTCCGCCTATTTCATTGCCAAACTACAACTTATCTTTACTATTGCCCATTTGTCCACGCATTCCCACTCGTTTTCCCTTCATTTTTTGTGCTAAATTTTGCAAACGGCTAAACTAACCATGTTAAAAGCGGTTTTATAAATATTACTCTACTTTGTGTTTGATATTACTTTCTTGGTTTTATAAATATTTCTTTACTTTGTGTTTGATTTTATTATATGGGACGGTTTTAGTAGGATAAAATAAGACGAAGACTGTAAGTATTGTTGCTCAAGAGTATCCCATCGTTGGAACCTCATATATACACTCATTTTCGAGTCATCAACTTGTTAGATTTAGAATCTTATTCTTTCGTACATTTTCGGATTATTATCTTATTTAGCCATTTTGTGATTGGAAGTCTAAAGCATAACAAAAATAAAATAAATAAATAATCTAGGGCTTTTGTTAATTAGATTTGTTGGGTCTTTATTAATGATTGATTTAATGACTAAAGGTCTGTAATGAGGACTAAAGACAAGAGAGCTTTTGACCTAAATTTTACTAATTTTGACATAAGTTGATCCTTAGGGCCTTAGGTACCATATAAGTCCTTTAAAATTAGTCTATAATATAGAAGTCAATAACTTTTTAACACTTCTAACCTTTTTTAAGAGGGACAATTATAATTTGTAGTATAAGATTATTTGAAAATACATTTTGATGATGAATGCATCTCTCTCTATATATATACAAGTCCCTATAGGTTCATTTTCTTAAATTGTTAGCATCATGCTTTCTTTTGATAATTCTAAAATAATTCAAAATTAGCTCTAACACAATAATACTCTCATTGTCTCATTATAATTGTTCACATTAATTTAAAAACGATCACATAATTTGTTAGATGAGATAAGTAAATTAAACTTAAGTGGAGTAGCAGTCTCACATCTCCAATAGCCAATTGACACCATAAGTTAGTTTAAGTAGTTGATCCAAATATTCCACCACATAACAAATTATTCAAATATAATGAAAGAGTTTCATAAGTCTCATCAATCCTATATAACCGTAATTATTTTAGCATTTGCAAAAGTGGGTTTCAGCTAATAAAAAAGGGAAAATTTTAACAAAAAAAAAAGGCTGAAAAAGTTAGTGGGACACTTCGAATGTCTCTTCTTTAATTTATCTCTCTAGGTTATGAGGCTATGTTTGTAGCCTATTTATGGAGTACTACAATTTTTCTCTTCCAAGGTGGGTAACGTCTAACTTTTTAGTACACTAGAAAAATATAATTCCAAAAAAATATTGCTCTTCCAATTTTAATATTTGATCCGTGACCAACTATGTCGCCTTTGTATTTGTCTCCTTTCGTGTGCATAAATTCAATTATTATTGTTATAAGAGTTTAATTAGTAGTAATTTATGTTGCCAAAAAAAAAAAATAGTAGTATTTTATAATAGAGTATAAAACATATTTCTGGATTTTAATTTTTAGGTTAAGCTTTTAGTTACAATGGTTTTCTAACACAGTATTGGAGCCAAGTTGGCATGTTGCATCCACACTTCAAGCTTATATATTTTTTATGGAGTATTAATCAACGTTTAGACAATGAAGTGATGATAAGGGTATGTTTTCTTCAGCTTATTATCAATTCACTTTAGTTTAGTTCAGTTTAGTTCCTAATTTCATTCTCATAAAAATATAAAATATTCAGTTCAGCTCAATTCAGCTCAGTTTAGTAAATTAGAACAGAACCTAATGATAGGGATTTCATTACCTTTTATAGATATATAATCAATTAATTTAACAGTAATGTCTAGAGAGGGAATTTGTTATTACATTTTATTGAAGTTGTTTGTTTGGTTTTTTTTTTTTTTTTTTTTTTGACAAAGAGAACTAATAAAACACTAAAAAGACCACGAAATAGACAGACGACGGCGAGCATGACCCGCTAGCCAGTGATCCGGTAAGACCCAAGACCTAGGAACCTTCTGAACCCTGCAGGCCAAGAAACTGTTGATTGTATCTTTGATAGCCTCCAAAAGCCAAACGCAAGAAATATCATTACCACCTGGCCTTGACAGAAGGGAAACCACCTGAGCACAGTCCGTATAGACCAAAACCCGATCAAAGCCCCGACGCTTAGCCATTCTGAAAGCCCCTAAGCAAGCTTGAAGCTCAGCCTGCAATGCTGAGGCAGCCCTAGTAGCCCTCAACCCACCTCCCAAGACCAAATCCGAGTGAACGTCTCGGAAGATCCAACCAATACCTGCCGTATTATCATTACCATTCCAAGCTCCATCAAATATAATACAGCAGTCAAGAGTATCTGATACTAAGCCCCTAAGCCAACCTTTATCCAAGGGAGAAGAAAACTCCCAAGGCAAATGAACCGAAGATCGAATCTCAGAAACAGATAGCGCATCCTCCCCCCTTGAAATCCAAGTCGAAGCTAAACACAAAATTAGGCTAGGAGAAACCACAGCATTCCGAAAAATCTTGTTGTTACGAGAGACCCAAATTTCCCACATAAAGCAAACAAAATAGGAGAGACTAGACCAATCCTTGGACACCTTGAACCTTGTAATCGTGCCAGTGAACCAATCCTGGAATGGAACTTCCTGTAACGAAAAAAGAGAGAAACCTAAAGGACCATTAACAATCAGATCAGAAACAAACTCACAATCTCGGAAAATGTGCGAAGTCGTTTCGCAACTTTGACAGCAGAAGACACACACAGGAGTGATTGGCATTCCATGCTGATAAAGGATAGAAGTGAGAGGCAAGGCATCATGCAACAATTTTGAGACAAAAACCTTAATCTTCGGAAGCATAGCGATTCCCCAGAACTGCTTCCACCATGAATCAGAGGCTGGAATACTAGCCACCACATCCATTGACTGTCGAACCAGCATGGCATAAGCCGTCTTAGTGGAAAAGCTCCCATCCCTAAAGAACTTCCAGTAGACGAAATCATCCATGACACTGAAAGGCCTTTCCAGAGAAAGAATCCTTTACACAGAAACAGAGTCAAACAGGCGATGTATCATAGAGGTATCCCACGCGTTTGTACGCGGATTAATAATAGAAGAAACATGGGTCGGCAAAGACGACCCAATCACATAATCCTTGAATTTGACAGGGCCTCCTAGAACCCAGTCATCCTCCAAGATCCGAACCTTAGACCCGGACCCAACTTTCCAGGAAAGGCCGGCAGATAAGGCAAACATGCCGTTCATGAGACCACGACAACCCCAAGAAGATCTAGGAGTTCTAGCCGCCCTAGAGGAACCCAGAGAAGGATACTTGGAAAGTAAAACCCTTGCAGCCAAAAGCTGAGGATTATGCTGAAAACGCCAACATTGCTTAGCTAGCAAGGCTGAATTCAATAAAGAAACACTCCGAAGACCCAAACCTCCCATTCCTTTAGGGAGATGCA